AAGGCCCTCTTTGCCTCTTTTTTTTTTTTGCTATTCTTGCGATTTTTGCTACTCAGTGTCTGATGAATCATTTTTTGCTAAAATTGCGATGAAAATAGGCCATTTGCACTAAGAGGTCATGTGACATAGTTTTTATAAAATAAAGTTGTAAGATTTTTTCTTCGATAAACGATTAGTGGTCATATCCTAGACAAAATTATAATGATTTGGTTTTTTCAAACCCGCACCATGCAAGTTCGTAGCTGGTCACGTGACCAAAATGTGATTTTTAAAAATTATGAATTACCTCTTTCTGAACGCAAATTTTGCACTTTAACTTCAAGGAAAATTTTGAAAAGATGATGTGGTGACGTTTACAGCACATCTGAGCGTAATTATCAAACGTTTAACAAGATATAAGCATAAAGTAGTTTTCGGCGCAATGTTGGGGGACAAGATTACAATACAATACAAGAGAAAGAGTTTGCCCTCCAATATGGCGGCCGATACAAATCACACTACTTTGTTGAAAAATCAAAGTGCCATAAAATATCTCTCTTAAATGCGTTTCCTCTCAAATTTCGGGTGTAAGATAATTTTTATGTGCTCTGTCAATTTTTGGCGTCAGCAAGATTCCAACTCACTGTTTAAATAAAGCATTGTTCACGTGACCTCTTAGTACAAGTGTCCTATTTGCTAGCAAACTTTTGCTACAGCTTCAGTGCAATCCTGGAAATAAGAGCCTCTTGGCAGGCAGTCAAGTACACAATTTTTCAGTACTTATTATATTGCTGCTATAGCTAAAGTGGAAGTGGAAAGCTGGTACTCCCTAATTCATTTCAAAACTTGCTTCTACTTTAAAGGCGTCCTTTTTATTGCTAGTAGCACACAGATGAGGATTTTGGCTTTGGCTTTTACAAGGGAATATAGAGCCAAAATTTTCCAGGGGGTTCAGGTTCAAGTGGTCCGGTAGTGAAATTTTAAGGAGTTTTATTATCCGGGATTATTTACATATTCTTTTAGATACATGTGATTAGATAAGTTTCTTTTCAGTATTCCGGTTCGTGTAGTCGATCTGTATTCTACTTAAGAACGTTGGACCAGGCTTCACTGTAAGTGAGAATATGCTTCTGCACATGCAGGACTACGTCTCGGCAAGCGAGTAAGAACCTACAGTGTTCCAAGTTAGCCTAAACAGGTTCTTACATGAATGGTAATTAGCACAAATTCAGACTATTATGGTTCTTAAACAGGTTCTTATTTTCTGAAGAAAAAATACATTGTAGCTAAGAGCATTTAGTGGTTCTCAGCTTGATTTTCAACACTTGGCATTTGTATTGCAGTTGGAGGAACAAGACACTATATCTCCAAAGAGGATCCTGAATGTTGACGTATCTTATTTGCCCATTATTAAAGTGAAGAGAATTTATTTTTACAGATTTTACAAAAATAAGAACCTGCTTCAAATTGTGGGCTAAATAGGGTCTTGTATAGAGGGGGCCTAACTGGCAAAATATAGCCTAACAGGTTCTTAAAAATTCTTATTCGCTGGTTTTTACTGCATTCGGCGTAAACCTGATTCTGAACATTCCCTTCCTTTTGCTATCAGGAGAACAGAATCATGAACGGAAAACCTTTCCATCTATTTCTAAAATGTTCCTGGAATAAGTCCCCCAAAATATGACAACCGTATGTTTGGTTTATTCTTTACCATCTCTTGGTCAATAACAATACACTTTAGTGATCGTTACAATATATTTGCACAAAGCGTTTCTACTTATTAATATTATTATATCATTAGTTGCAAAGAGTTTCTACCCGGATTGTGGTAGATCATTGACCCTGAACATTCTTCTTCATTTGGTTGTACCAAATATGCGAACCTCGAAAACTCGCTCTCAAAGAGCTCGCTCCCGTAATATGTCATTAATATTCAAGCTGATTCCTCAGGAAAATGACCTTTCGAAGTATTGTTTCGTTCCGATTGCCGGGAGAACAAGTTCATCTTCTGTATACTATTTTCTTGGTCCCAATGTAGATTGTTAGTTCAAATGAGTGTTAGTTCACGTGATGTAAATGAGTAAGGTTCCACCATCTTTCGTGTCTGTAACTTTAAGACTTAGATTTGACGGTGGAGGTGCCCTTCTGGATAACGCTTGGACTCTCTCTTTATGACTGAAGGCAGCAAGTAAGCTGGAATTAGTCCTCATTTACAAGGACGTGACTTATGTCCCCATAAATATTATCCTCAAAGACATTGTTTGACATTTCTATTTCCACGCCATGCTCAGGATCTTCACTGGCTGCATTGTACGTCTTGTCATCTTTCTTCACACAGATACCATAGTGGTTGTTTGAAATATAATTGTCTGTCAGAACAGCTTTGGTCTTTCGAAAATCTGACACTGCCTGCAAAAAATCAGGAGGCTTATTAGGTCATTTTCGAGATGTCTCAAGCCCCTGCTTCAAAGCGAGGCTAAGTGCGAAGCCATTGATACGAAAACCATTTCATTTTATTCTCAAGCAAATAAAATTCATTTTACAAGAAAGGTTTCGCACATAGTCTCGTTTTGAAAGTTAGGGTTTTGGAACTCCGAAATAATAAATAAATAATAAATAAATAAGAAGAACGAACAAAAGAGTCCAAGAAAAAAATAAACCTCAAAAGATTTTTTGCATTATATTCAACATTAAAGTTATGCGCATACTTTGACCATTTCTTTTAAAGGTCAACAAAAAAAAATCTTTTTTTAAATTTGAACAGGTGCTTTGGCAAATATTGTGGAATGTCGATTCATAACAGAAACGTTTTGGCCGGCAGCTGCACAAGGATTCGAAATGACTCCAAAGCTGCGGCTCAACGATCCAACATATTCATTCAACAGGAATTGATGTCAGTTGAAATACTATGTTCAGTAAAGGTTTATCAGTACTTTCCTCTCTCAACTTTGCATTCGATTGGTTTCCCAAGCAGTTTTCATCTAACTTTTTTTTCACAGTTTTAAATTGCTTAGTTACCTCTTGAACAAAGCGAAGTACAGTAGTTGGAAAGAGAAAGCAACCAATCAGAACCCTTAACTTTGTGACAACACTGTGGCCTTTAATAGCACAGTCACGGCAGGCCTCAACCACCGGAAACAACATATGTGCATTCACATCCCTTGTACCACTTGTGACGTCACTAGTTTTGAAGGTCATAGACATCTTTCAAAAATTACCAAATGAACGAATCAATTCAGTTAAACGAGTAAGAGAAAACCAAAGGTAACCAGAAAATTAGGATAATCTTATTCCACTACCTGCTTGTATTTCCTTCAAAATATCAACATAATTTTATGATCCTCGGGTTTTTGCGAAATCTTTTCCTAACGAAATGAAACCTAGTAGATGTCCAGCTAAAGAGAAGAAAAGGAGGGAGGGGGAAATAAAGAAGGAGGAGAGAAAGCGAAAGTTAGAAGTCGAGTAGCCTTCCATGCTGACGTTCTTTTGGTTCTTTGAGAAGGGAAACAACAAAGAACTTACGGCCCGGACCAGTGCCCCACTTTTATAACCCGGCAATTCTCGAAATTTGGTCTTCGGCACACGCTCGATTTTAAGAGGGATATTTACCAGGGTTTGGCCAAATAGTTACCTTAAAATGGCTTATTTAGAATCAAACGGAGTTTTTTCAGGGGCTAAAGGGTTAAGATGCACCTTACAGTTTCAGCTGTAATCCGTGCCCAAAATGCCTATGCGGGTTCGTTCGCTGTATGGTCAAGCATTGTTTACATCTTTAGTCACCCATGTTGTGTATGACAACCATGATGTTGGGCGAAAATGTTGGACTGTTTAGCCGGGGCATACAGGTTGCGTTCGATTGGGAAATCCGGATTTCGGGTTTTGCAATCGAACGCGAAATCCGAAAACGGATTTCACCTCCGAGAAATCCGTCCTTATGGTGGATTTCAATTAAGAAATCCGAATCCGGATTTCATGGATTTCCTTTTACTATTTGATTGGGAAATCCGAAAAAGAATATGCAAAACTATTATCGTGAACTGTGGTCTTCTTTTTGCTAATTATGCGCGAGCGTGCAAGGCCGCTGTTCTTAAGAACTGTTTATCAAATCCTTTTTCGGATTTCCCAAAAAAACGGAAAGAAAGGGAATTCAAGAACAGATATCTCAGTGTTGAAATCCGTTTTCAGATTTCGCATTCGATTGTAAATCCAAAATCCGGATTTTAAAATCTAAATCCAGATTTCCAAATTGAACGCACCCACAGAGAAAAGAAACGATTTGAAATAATTTTCAAGCACTCTCGATACATTTGGCATTTAATTTTGTTAGTAAAAATACGACAGACCTCCAGTAAAATGGCTCCAGTGGGTTGCTCTGATGGAGAATCGCTGCTATATTCTCCATTATCATAGAACTTGTTGTTTTCTAGACAAACACCTGCTCCACGGTAAACTATAATTCCTGCAGACTGGATAAATAACAACCTCAGTATAGGGTGCAATTTGTGAATGTTTACAGGAGGAGACGTCTTTACTTCCCCCTTTTGTCATCAAATTCATTGGATTAGATTACGTAATATATCGAACACGACACGCAGCGAGCGTGGTGTTATAACTGATGTCCAGGCACCAAAGAATTGGGAAGAATTTTTTCCCTTTTACGGTAAGCGTTCAGAAGTTTACGAAGATCTTTATGGGAAAGTTTATTTAAGGAGGGCAGAGAAGGAATCCTAGAAGAAACGGGTGTTTATCACATCTCTTCACCATATTTGTCTGAAGCGTGATTATATCATCACACTTCCATGTCATTTTCGGTATTTTTTTTCTCTCAAAGACGCTTTCGGAACTTGCGAACTCAAACGAAACAGAGAATCCATCATCATTATTCCTTTTAATACTTTTGCAAGTTATACTTACAGAAATGCGAGAGATGATCAACATCTCCAGAAAATTAAATGTATGAACAAAACAAAACATTCAGCGAATACGGCAAATTAATAGTACAGTCGAAGCTCTCCTTTCGACCACTCTCGTAAGCGACCAGCTCAAGGTACCACAACCTTTGTGAAACCCGGTTTGAACTTTGTAATGAAAAGCTATCGCAAGTGCGACCTTTCCCGCAAGCGACTGCGACCACTTTTGGGATTCCCCAACTAACTGGAGTCTTTCTTTGTTTGTAAGCTCTAGTAATCGACTACTAAATCATCACTTTAATGAAACTGCACGCTGCACTAATGTTTCGTTGTTAAAGATATTGTACAGTGCAGTATTGTAACTGTAAGAGTCCACTTAGCCTTCGTGGCAAAGACCTCCCAGAATTATTAATGAGTTTCTGAAGCTCTCGTAAGCGATCATCCTCTATTGTTTTACCATACTTATCGCTTGCGATCGCTGGAATTTCTGTAGTGGTCGTTACGAGAACTTCAATTGTTGACTGTACTTCCATTATTGAGCTTTGTATCTAACCTGTCAAGAAAGTTATCTAAAAGCAAATAAGAATATTATTACACTTTAATATAATAATAAATGTGAATACTCTTACCTTAGCACCATGGAGTTTACTGTCTCTCATAATTATCTGTCCACTGCTCTTTACTGTCACGCCATTTGTCACGCATCTCATTTCACAGTTGTCAATTGTGACACAGCCACTATTGATGTTAATTAGTCCTTCATTATCATTTCCATCCTGCTGAAAGCTTACATTCTTGATGCTTATGTCACACGCATTGCATTCAAGCGTGAATTCATCATTGTCACTGCAACAGACTAAGATACTGTTGCGTTATTTTACCATACTGCCACTTTCTATGAAGGTTAAATACTAAAAGGATTGAATTAGACTGAGGCCTTTTTTCTGCTGTTTCTTCATGGAGTGACAAGTAACTATGTAAATAAATCATCGAAATGGAGAGTTTTCCCTCAAAGGTGGTGGGACCAAATGGTTCCAAATGTTGTGAACTGACGTCATACTGTCTTCACAGGAGGGCCATTTCACCAGAACACAAAAGACAAATCGTCTATTTTGAATGTAAATAACAACCTAGAGGACTTGTGGAGTTGTTTTTTTCTGACATATCGGAAAACGTACGGGTCAAAATGACCAATGTTTAAAAGCCTGTTTGAAGCCCCCTTAGTAGCTAAATATACATGTATACTGTTAAAAGGCTACTACCCATACTCTTACCAACAATCTCGGAAGAATTTCCTTTTCCCACAATATGAAGAGAATCTGCAAGATAGTAAGCTTTATCGAGCATATATCTTCCTGGATAAACAACAATTGTGTCTCCTTTATAATATCTATTGAGTGCCGTTCCCAAGCATTGGAAATGCTCTATCACTGTGTTGTCTGTCGAGAAGGAAAAAAAAAAACAAATTATCATCGGTAGGTGTTCAGATAAACCACTGGCAAAATTGTTGATACATCAGTACAGACGCCTCAAGTAACAAAGGGCCAGGTTGGTGTAGTGCCATTTTCCAGGCCCACCCCCGTGGGGGCCAGGGGTTATTCGCTGAAAAGGGAGAACATTGGCAAAGAAACAAGGTTTAAAATGGCATCTGTTCCTTCTCTTTTGGCCGCCAGGCATTCTTTGCGACCAAAATACACTTTTTGTACTACCAACTAGAACGAAACCAACCTGGGAACGAGGTTGAAATAAACCTTCCTGAAACTCACTATGAATTTTCAAATGCTTCTCGATGAAAGTTAGGAGTCTCATATTAAGTCTCAAAGAAAGCGATTTGACATTTGATTTAAGAAAATAAATATTTAACATGGACAAATTGTTGCCTTAGAATTAGCCACAAAAACATTTATTCTAGGTTGTTGATGGTTTCCCCAGTGGCCCGTAGTTTGATCTCCACTCTTTCTTAGACGTCAAAACAAAAAAGGGAGAATTTCATTCCACAGATTTTAGAGCAACAAATTTGATTGATTGACTGGTGCTGCTTCCTAAAGAAGTCAAAATGTTTTTCTTACTTGTTTATGCTACGCGAACATAAATAAGAGACCTCAAGAGGATGAACGTAGCATACACCTAAGTTGTGACAAACCTAAGAGAGGGCCAGGGACTCCACAGACCACCCAGCGCTACATTTAAAAAGGTGGATAAAGTGCAAGTACAATCTAGGCAAGTGTATTTACCTTGAAAGCACTTTAGCATTCCAGCTTGTAGTTTTGGAGCAACAATAAAGGTGACTGGATCATCTCCTTCTTTTCTAATGCCTCTTGGTTTCTGTCTGATCATCTTTGGTGAAACAGAGGCTAAAAGGTACCTCATCTGTGGATTTTCTATAATCTGCAGTGAATGAGCTAAAGATTCACAAAACTCAGACATCTGTGCACATTTAAGGACATCCATTTCATCAAGCTCTTGGTCAAGGTCACTTGCTCCTATTTGTTCCTGAAGCTTTTTCAGTTCTGCAAGCTTCTGTCCGTATTGCTCATAAGTATCTATAACGGCACAGAATCGCGCACACAGACAAAAAAACAATGCAGCATTAATTCAACATCTCTTGACGGTCATTGAACTGAGTGGAGTACAACTTTGGTCTGAAATCATGCGCGTGATTTCAAAATCGTATCGACTTTATTAATCAGGGAGTTTTAGCAATCAAGACGACTTTGACAACGTTAAAAAAAAAATTGGATTATTGGACAAAAAAATAATGCTGCACATGCATCTTACTTTTTGGTACATTTCGTCTTTTTCTCTCCTCAACTACGACGTGAAATTTGTTAATGCGACGTTCATATGAGAACGTGAACACACCACAAAATAGTTTCCTTTCTCGTTTTGAACGTAGATGCTGTTCTTAACAATTCAACTCAATTTGTTAACTGTGGGCTAATCGAGGTGGGCGGAATAATCGCGATGAGCTTTGAAATAACGCAAATTTACCCTTAATTAAAGATCAATGATTACTTCCTAGTAGTCTTGTAGTGGCGTTGCAGAAAGTTAAAACAGGCTAGGGATGATAACTTTGTTTAATAAAGTACGTTATGGAAATCATTTCGGCTTTGGCATCAAACGAAGAACTATGCAAATCAAGACTGACGATCGTACTGATCCATCTCAACCTTTATCGTTGAAAAGATAAGAAGAATTGATTGACACCGAAAGATTCTATAGTTCATTTTGATTTATTCTTTGGAAATTTTAAAAAAGAAAAGTTATTGAACAGCAGATGGTAAATCAGTACCGTCTGACGCACGATACGCAGCAAGGTTAGCGGAGTACCTTTGTATCTCTGTACAAGGTCCTTTGGCAGGTTTCCATCTTGTATTTCATGGTAAAGTTGAAGACGTGTTTCTAGATGTCTACTTGCAAAACAGTAATCACCATCGTCATCTGCATCCCATTCTCGCCAGATGTTGTCATAAAAGAACCTAAAATGGAACAATCATTTTTTGACCAGGCTGCCCACCTATTCTGGTCTAACCCAATATCTTGCCCCAAGTAAGAAGTTAGTGTACAGACCGCCTGCGGGTGGGAATAGAGATTGGCTGGAAAAGAGCAGGTCAGTCATGATGGGTTGAATCTACGTATCGTTACATTACCAGCCCAAATCGGACATGTTTAAGGTGGCTCGAGTGGATTTTTGGGGGGGTATACCTGACAAGTTTTATCATTAACTACGTCGCCACGAGCAAAGATATTGGAAAAAGATTACCACAACTGTATTGTATAAAGATGAAAATTTCTTATGATCTGGGTTTTATTGCAATCGTAGTCGCCATGGCAACGTAACAACGTCATTACGTTTTTTATTTATCTTTGTGTTTCTCTGTACCACGAGTTTTTTTAAGAAATCGCTTAAGGGAGTTTGTACCTACCATAATTGGCTCAATTATGGCAAAGTTTGAACAAATTCTATGAGAGCGTTTTCGAGATATTTTGAAACGAAGTTTTAAGCATCATAAAAACTGTGAAATAGCATGCTATCCACACAATTAGCTAAATTTTTAAGAAAATTATACGCTTTGGAAACGCGGCTTCATCTCATAGTGGTTTGATTCCATTGAAAACTGCGTAAAAAGAGGAGAATTGCTCCGGGCGATCTCGAGTAAGAAGAATTTTAGTAACTTGCATTCAGCTACTTTTGTTACAGGTTTTGCACATAATTTGGTCCATGCCTACAAATTTCGCATTTTTCAAAAAACCGCTCGATAAATTTTTTATAAATTTCACAATCCCGGGATCAATTGCCAATAAATATACCCTGCAAAATTGAAGGAAAAAAGACTACGAATTTTTAAGAAAATGCGTTTTTTCGTGAGAAGGACTCTTAAACGCTGACAAACGTCAACAACTAGCTAAAACTATAATTTCTATATGTTTCATTGCTCGAAATCGCGCGCATTTACAAGGCCCTAAAGCTTTTTGCTGACTTGCAAGGACCCATCTGTTATAACGATCCCCGAAATATAGGGATAAATCTCATAGTTTATTAGATATAATCGAGTAAAGTTTGCTTATCATTTTCGCATAAATTATGACCTAAATTTGGAAACCGCTGAATTTCTCGCATTGGGTCTTTGCGATTTTGGTGAAACTCTGTTCAACGCAAGGCACTAATACGCACTTTATGTAGCCGAGAAATTTTCACGAAAAAATGCCTGCAACAGCAGAATTTCGACTCAGACCCCAAAGAGGCGTGGCAATATAACCACGTGACATTTACTCCGATCGCCAAAAAATTTAATGCTGTATTGTAGATTGATCTATATGTTATCCATGCTATATGTTAGACTTACGATCAAAGTAAAGGTGGGAATACCAGAAAGCTTCAAAGTAGGATGGTACCCTCAAAAAATAACTGGCTCGAGTCACCTTAACAAAATCGGCTGCAAGAACTGTGATTTTAAACGTATTTTATGGTCAAACGGCAACTGAAGACAGGCATTCGGGAACACAAAAAGGCTGTCTCTCTGTTTGACTACAACTCCAAGGTTGTATGCCATATCCACGAGAACAATCATCAGACTGACTTTACTGATAGAATAGAGAGAATTAAGAATTACATTTAGAGCAAATGCTAAACGTCAATTTGTACCACGTGACTAAGTTGTCTCATTACTTACCGTTAACTTTTCGTTATCTCTCCACAAAAATTAGTAGTTTCACGCCATTATATTTGGACAGCTATTATCTGCACGTTTCCAATTTTGAGAGATTTTCAACTTGAACTTAACGTTCGCCTTAAAAGTGATTCTTAATCTCTCTAATCTCAAAGATGTTTGACATGTGGCCAGTTTTCATCGGCGACTTTTACTGGAAATTTGGTGGTCAACAAAAGGTCTTAACAACACTGTACCGGAGGTCTATAGACGCGCTTAAATCCCGTGATGCGTTTGAAACAATAAGCGTAACTTGGTAACGTTTTAGCCCTGCATACAAGTACTATCAATTACGATAACATGAGAAAAATAGAGTGTTTTCACATGACGTCACGGCGGGCATATTGGTGTTCCAAAACAACGAAACGGCGGCCATGTTGGTGTACCCAGAAAATCCTCTGGGAGTTGAACTCTTTTCTCATGTAAATGCATTCTTTTGTTCCAATAAATTAGAATAGATGCTGGCCACGTGAGTGAAAACGCTCTATAATTTTTCAATCAGTGACAAAGGTGGCATGGAAGCCCGGGGGGGGGGGGTACTCCCATACATTACCTATACGGGATGTTCCGGCCAACGGGGTCGTGATTTTAAAGCTCCTGGTTTAGAAAGGGGTATCCATTTTAGGGGCGTTTTCTAGAACGGAGTATAATATTTCGAACGCATGAAAGCTCCAGTTTTGTAAGCAGCCATTTGAAATTATTCAAGGACAGATTGCTTTTAAAAATACGGCTCAATGCGTTACTGAAGCAAACTGTTATACTCTTGTTGCATCCTAGAACGGAGTATAAAAAATTGGCCCATTTTTAGAACGGGGTATCAGTTTTAGGGCAAATTCTAGAATGCGGTATAAAAAATTGGCCCATTTCTAGAATGGGGTATCAATTTTAGGGGAATTTTTTTTAGAACGGGGTGCCAATCTGGAGTCCCGGGCGGCACGTACCCACCCAAAAAATACCCAAGTGCCCCCCCCCCCGGGGCTTGGAAGGAAAAATTTGCATACTCCAAACACTGGAGTCGAACCTATGAATTTCAGGCAAGGGTTGTTCAAATGTTGGATCAGGGAAGAAAGTTTTCTGGTAGATAGAGCAAACCGTCCTTCCACTTTTTGGTAGGTACCTTATATATGATTATTATAGTGACAGTGTACCGTATTAAGTCATATATAGCTCTACAAGGCCTTACATAGCCCAACATAGCCATACATAGCTCTGCATAGCCAGCCATACATAGCCATTCATAGCCACATGTAGCATGTTTATGGCTATGTAGGGATATGTTTGTGGGTGTATGGCTATGTATGGCTATATAGGGCTATGCAAGGCTATGTTGGGCTCCCTAGGTCGTTGTATGGTTAAGTATTACTACACTGGGCTATGTAAGGATATGTAGGGCTATAATTATACGATACACCATAATGATCATATACAAGGTACCTACCATGGAGGAGCGGAAAAAAGTGAGCGGCAGGAAAAAAAAAGTAAGCAGCAGATAAAAACTGAGGAGCAGGAAACAAAAAGTGACTGGGAAAAAGTGAGAAGCCGAGGAAAGTGAGCAGTGGACAAAAACAGAAAACAAAATAGGAGAGAAGAAATTCATGTCCCTTTAAAAACACCGTACAATAGTGATATGACCTAGGACACAGAATGACTTTCAACACGACTTTACTGTTTAGTTTCTTTCCGTTCATTATTATAGGCCTAAGCTATGGTTTCCCAGTTACTAATCAGATCCCCTCCCCCACACCCATTCTTTCTTCTTTTCCCCTACATCCTATTTTGTCTTCTTCTGGCAAAGCTAATAAAATAAAATAAAATTGATCACATGGTACAAACCTGACATGTTCAACTGCTAATGCTGTCTCATCCCATTGCCCTGACTCATCATAAACTGGGAACAACTCAATCAAAGGAACAGAATTCTTGTGACGAAGGAGATATGCATTTATACCTTCTGTGTCTATGATGCTCAGTGTGTCTGAGACCAGAGGCTCACAGATGCTAATTTCAGCTGTTAAGCTACTAAAATTAACATTTGACACCTGTCAATCAATTAAAACAGAACATTAGTTATGCTTTTTTTTACTAACTTAGTTTTTGTACCACAGGAAAGGGCATGGGAAAAATATTTTTGCATGAATTAAGGAGGCTTGCACCCAGTTTACAAGGTCTCACTCCTTCATTTGTTATGCTCCATTCGTTCATTTGTTGGCTTTAGTGCATGTACAAAAAAACATGAAACAACATATCTAACATTGAAGAAAATTTTAGAGTAGGTTTTGTTGACATCACCACTTCCATTGCAACAGAATAACAACGATGTGAAATCTTGGGAAACTGAGAATTTTCTTGAAATCCAGTAAAATCCTCCAGTGTGCTAATAGTATGGACTGAAATATAATGT